GGGGTTTCCTGGCCATTGATGATCTAAGGTGCTCTGGTTTCTTTCCAATTAATAGTAATCTTTATAGATCTTAATCCACCTTTTTAAAAAGACTGGTGGTTGGCTGAGGGGAGCAGGGCACATGCACAGGGTTTGGTGAATGTTTTGACCTGTATCTTTAGATGAGGTATGATTTGTTAACTTTTGATTTATTGGGTTATATCTTTATTTTTGTGGAAACTTGGAAAAAAATAAATAATTGCATTTATCTGGCCGGTGGGTAAAAGCCTGAATGGTGCTGTTATTGTCGAATGAATGCTCGTTATGTGTATATCTCTGCTGTTGGATTCATGAGCATATCACCATTAGTTTATTGTTGCTTGTGAGATTCAGGGAGGGCATCACTTATTATGAACCTGTTTCATGTTTAATTTTGAAAATCGTATTATAAAGAAGAAATTACTTTGGCCTTGCTCATTTTTATCTTGCTAACAGTGCTGATGAGCCTTTCAAAATTTAAACAGAAGAATGAAAATGCATTTGAAATGCCCCCTTTTAAACAGAAGATCCCTGGTGAAGTTGTACAGCTGGGCAGAGTCAGAAAATTTCCACACAGTCACCTGTCACTCTCTCTTCAACTACATCTGTGCTCAACATGCATGTCCCAAGCCATAGAGATAATTGGGATTTGCTCTCGGGTAACTTCTTTTCTCCTGTCACAGGACTAAAATTTCTGACATGTCAAAATGCCTTAAATTTTAATGAACTCTCTGAAAATGTAGTTAGTATTGAAGAATTTATTTATTTCTAATTTTAGCTATTAAATAGATTTTGTCAGCCCAGTTCCATCTTTGGAATGGAGCTGCCTTTTCCCTTCGGGTCCCAGTGGTTGTCATTTTATCCTGAGCACTAAAGAGGTATGACAGAGAGAATATTATGAGTAAAATGTTCAGACCAATCCTGGCTATAAAGCTCACTTTAGTTGTAGATCTTGTCTTTGCAAAGTTCAGTGGAATGCTGAAAGGCATAAATAAATTAATCATGTATCTATGACTTTTAATTGATATTTGTTGTTTTCTTTTCCCTCTGAAGTGGTAGAATGAGTTATTCATTGTTTTTCTGAAAGGCACAGGTTTGAAGCCTTAAATAACTTTATTAAGTCAGTCAACTGTCACCTATAATATCTCCTAGCACTCTGTCAAAATATATTTAAATCAGTTTTTCCACTGGATGAGGCCATACCTTCTATGGATAAATTATATCATGACATTTAACAATGCTAAGCAATTTGATATGTGTTCACTTGATTTAAAAGACTGAATTTTATTCTTGTTGACTTTTCCCATCTTTGGTTACTGGTAATCAAGTTCTTTCCAGGATTAAAAATGTTTCATAGTATTTTTGTGTAGACTTTTGTCATTATTTTCTTCCCATGGAGAAAAGGTGGTTTAAATGGCTAATGGAAGAATTGCTTGGGTCCAGTCAATTACTAGCTGTGGTCTTCAGGTTTCCAGCTGGTGGGTCATGATTGACAATGATTTTCAAGATCAATATGCTCAACTGTCCATTGACCTCTATCAATAAACTACTTCCTGTGGTTCATGGTCATTCCTAATGGGAGGCTAATGTGCAGATTGTTTCTCTCTTCATCATGAAAGCAAATTTCCTGGGAGTTAGGGAGGGTAGATGATTTCATTGGCAAGTTTAAAATCAGTGTGTTGTTCACATTTACCTTTGTATATAAAAGATATGTAGAGTAGATCTTCAGAGGACATAAAATACCCTCACGTTTATTGTATAGTAACCATGAATATTTTCTCAGGTTTACAGGCCCAAATTATAAATTAAGGTGATCCTAAAGAAAAAGTCCCAATGGGAATAAACTTAAAAAAATAAAAAAGTCTCAATAACTGACTCGCTTTTTTAGCTTGTAGATATTGGTAAATTTGGTTTGGAGGGTGGCAAGATTTCCTTTATCTCAAGTGGCTGATTTCTGATTACCGTTGCTTGGGTTAAATAAATGAGTTAAACCAATGGGAATTATGTAAATCTAAACTTTCTGTCACAGAACAGGAGTCATAATTGCCTTATTCATGGGCTTGGGCCTTGGTTATTTGAGCTGTAGTGGTTGTAGCCTGCGCTGGTGTTCATCTTTCTGGTGCCTCACTGTTCTTGGCTACTCTCGGCTTACAGCCCTTTGCTGATGAGCTTTGAGACCCAAAGCTATCATGGCAGATGAGTGAGGAGAGGAGGTACCCGAGACAAAGTGTGGAGTTGAAGGCGGAAAAGGGACACTGCCCGAATTACCTCTTTTCTTAGCCACTCTCTTCATCTGTCATGTGTGTGGTCAGCTTGAAAATGGGACCTTTTTATTTTACCATAAAGTTGAGTGGGCAAGAAAATCTATTGATATTTAAACAGAGCATTTCAGAAAATATAAACACTTAGACAACCAATGATAATCTACCATTTCGCTAGGTTCTGATATGTTTTTTAATGAGTGTTATATGTATCATTCTGCTTGAATTCCTTAAATTCAGGAATTCCTTGCAAATTCTTGCAATTCCTTAAATTGCAAAGATGGACCAGTTTTGTATTCTGGAAGAGTGAAATGTTAGTGGAGTAAAAAAAAAACCAATGCCAAACCCATTTGTTGGAAATGGCTTATGTAAAAAAGATTTTATAGCATCTATTTTCCATACATACTCTGAATATTTTTAAAACATTATTTCTAGGGATCACATCTTAGATGATGCACTCGAAAACTGGAAACATGGCTTGTGGCAGGGAAGGAGAAAATGATGAGAGCTGTCAGTTAATGCATTTTCAGTGAAATACAAGTATAGTGGTCATAGATCAAAACGCAGCTATCAAAAACAGTTTTCTCAGGATTCACCAACAGCCTAATTGTCTTGTTTAAAAAGATCCATGATCAATTTGATTGTTTTAGGCATCAGCTGTGTCTCTGAACAACCCATCTGATATTGCCTTCCTCTGACTGTCACATTCCATCAGTGGACTGACTTTATTTTCTCTCCCATCAGCCTCGCCTCAGCCTTTGCCTTCAGCAGATGCTCATCCTGAGCACACTGGTCTGGCACTCCTGCCCATTTCAGTAACAGCAGAATTCTCCTTTGCCATCTAGTTCTGTGGAATCCATTACCCAGTTTCCCCACCACTCCTGAACATCCATGTCCCTTTTTGAATATGAAAATTCAGGGCCTGGCGAAACACTGTTGTCTTTGAACATCTGCTGGGTTTTGGAAGAATGATTAGTGGCTGACTCAAATGCATTCAGAGGGAAAAAGAGAATTTCTAATATCTGACTCCTCACTTTATTTCCTTCAAGGCCAGTCCTGTTGGCTCCTTGTGCATCTGCTCATTATTTCTGGATGTTTGGAAAATACTACCAGCATGTCTTGATTCACTAGGCCCTGGTTTTTTAGCCTGCAAGTCTCTCATATCCTTGATTCTACTTTTCCTTCCTCTCATTGTCTTCTTCAGTCATAGTTCCCTCATTAGAGTACTTCATAGTCTTTATACTAAAGGCAGGAACTACATCATATTTTTCTCTTTTTCATGGGCTGAAGAGCGGCACCCCCAAAAAAGATGAGTCAACATGCTATCCCCAGAACATGGGAATGTTACTTCATTTTAAAAAAAAGGCCCTTGTAGATATAATTATGATCTTGAGATGGGATTGTCCTGGATTATTCAGATGGCCTCTAAACCCAGTGACAGGTGTCCTTGTTAGAGACGAATGGAGCAGACAGACACAGAAGGCAGTGTGGAGATGGAGGTAGAGTTTGGAGTGATGTGGCCACAAGCCAAGGAAGCTGGCAACCATCAGAAGCTAGAAGGGGCCTGGAACAGATTCTCCCCTAGAGTTTGTGAGAGGATGGGACCCTGCCAATATTTCATTTTGGACTTCTGACCTCCACAGTTATGAGAGAATAAACTTCTGTTTTAAGCCACTCAGTTTGTGGTAAGTTATTATTCAGCCATGAGAAGCTAATGCATTCTCTCTATTCATGGCACCTGGCACAGAACCTGATGGGTAGTTAGATTCTAGTAAAGTTTTCTACATTAATAAATGATTTGTGGCTCAAAGGCTTACATGGAGATATGGGACAGTATTGATAAGAACAAGTCAGTTTTAATTTATCCACACATTCTCTGTTTCCTCTTTAGCTTGGTAGAATATTAAAGTTTAGTGACAAGCCCATGTGCCTAAGCATTGTTCCCATGACTTTGGAAAAGCATCAGAAAATAATAGGTTCTGCATTTTTATTGCTCTCCTTGGCTATGAACAGTGAGAGTGATTTTTTTAATAATATGACAGGATGCTTTCCGAGCCATCTTCCTACTCGTTAAGCTAGTTTTTTTTGGAAATGAGGGCCATTGAACTTGCTCTGGCATTCAGAACACAGGAACTCCCCTTCTTCTTGCCTCAGAGCCCTATCTGGGCACATTCTAGGCTGCTGTAAAGATATGACTTAAAGAAACCAATATGTGTCATGTCATCTGGCCACTGAAATGGCCTGCCATTTTTGGTGTCATCAGTCAATTTCTAAGCATTGTGATGGTAAGAAGTCCAGATCCATTCACAACTCTCTAGGGTAACAGTTTGTGTTCAAAGTACATATAGCACTGCCTGGGTGGCTCAGTTGGTGGGAGCATTGTCCCATACACCAAAAGGTTGTGGGTTTGATCCCCAGTCGGGGTGCATATGGGAGGCAACAGATGGATGTCTCTGCCTCACATCGATGCTTCTCTCTGTCTCTCTCTGTCTCTGTATCTGTGTGTGTGTGTCTTCCCTTTCCGCTCTCTTTAAAATCAATAAACATAACCTTGGGTGAGAATTTTTTAAAGTACACATAGCTGTGAACAAAAGTGCTATTAGATAGTTTCTTCCAACATTAAAAATAGAAATGATCTGAAGGCAACATATTCAAGTTACTTGAAGTGATTCAAAAAGAACAAATCATTATCCACCATGCTGAAAAACCTTGATGGTTTTATTCTTCATAGCTTTACATTAATACAGATGCTTTTTATTTTGTGCTGAGAAAAACAATCTGTTACACATAATGTAACTTTAATATACAACATAGAAACTCATCCTAAGTTAGTTACAACAAGAACCTACAAAAACTTTATAGGAAAAAAAGGTATCTAATATTGCCACCATAGTTTTTAGTAGACGGACCCTGTCAGACCTTGTCACCAATGCTCAGCTCTGTAAACAAAGGTTCTTTCCATGTTCTGGGGAATCGTTAACAATAGGAGCACTAAAATCAGCCTAAAAAGTCCTAACACATCACTATGTACTGTACAATCCTCAAAAATAATTTATTGTACTGTTTCTAAAAAAGGGTACTAGGGTTGTTCTTTTGCTCTGTTTCCATATTCCGGGGCTGCACTTTTGTCTAACAGTCTAAAAACACAAGAACTGAACCGCAATTCACAATCACAGGGAGGAGGTGGTGGAGTCGAGGACTTCCCGCCCGTTGCACACTGTCGGGACGTACACGCCTGCAGAGGCTGGGAAACAAAGCAGGACAGAGAATTCAGTGTCAGACAAGTGGGCAACATGGGTAATGGCATGAATGATACCAGACACTTGTTAAAACTAAGTCGAAAACTCATTTTAACTTGGCTTTAGAAAATGCTAAATGATTTAATACTGTCCTAGATCAACTTTCTAAATATGTTCCACTCTAAATTAAAATGCGTCCTGTCACAAACCTCCACTGATAACATACCTCTTAGAGGGAGTTGATAAGCATAATCATTGTTGAAAGGAGTCACTTGTGGGTTTAAAATTAATTTTGGTAAAATACAATATGCAAAATTGAAAGCTCACTGCAATTTTCTTAAAGATTGTTAAATTAATTCCTATTTTCAATACCTTAATTAATTTGGTTCTCTCTGGGCAGGGATGGCTCTTACATAGCCCCACAAGTCACCCGTGAACTCCACCGCCAGAAACTGGTGTGACATATCCTCAGGTTCAAGTGTGGCATGCAGTGGGGATGGCCTCGGTGAAACCCCCAGCAAGGGCTGATGTACTCACTTCAATTTCATAATACTTCTCAGAAAGGAAGATGTTCTCAAAGGATGATGTGCTCGTTCATGACAATAGTGACAACAGTATGAGTATAATATGTATAACCTTTCTTTTTTTGGCACTTAGTTTTCCTAGATACAATTCACAGCTCTTGTTGTTTGGGAGGTTTTATTTTTATAAGAAGTCTAGGTATAGCTTGGTTACATCTATTTCACCCTTGATGCCTTTTTTTTTTGTTTGTTTTCTGAATGAGAACAAAAGGGAGAAACTATGTAGTCAAGAGAATCAGAGATAACTCCACATTACCTTTTAGAGCTGTTTCTGTTCCATCCCTTGGTCTGTCCATCTGGACATGCTCTCCCCAGAAGAAGCCGCTCTTCTTGGCTACCTGACCACAGGGCAGGTCAAACTGACCAGGAAGCTGTTCCATTCCTTAAGGGTGTACCTCTCAGTGAATAGTCAGGCATACTAATATCATGCTAAAGTGTTCATGTCTGATAGTGGAAATATTCTTGCTCCATAAAATTGCATTTTTAATAGGCATTTTTTTAGACATGAAGGAGAAGCCAAATGAAGTTTGAGATTATATGTCATTCAGTGGAGGAGCTTTAACCATACTTGGGGCACTGAAGTCTTTCAGCAGGCTCACCACCAGGGAAACTATAGCCTTTCAGTTTTTCATTGGTTACTTGGCTAGGTGTATGAGAAAATCTATAAGGTCAAGGGAGTGGCTGCCTAAAGTTATGTGGCATCATGTGGCATGCTAACTCTTCTGGAGTTGTTTCTCCTTTTATCATTTTTAGGATGAGCTTCAATTTTCTTTACAATATGAGCCCACTAAAATCATATCTTTAAGTGTGGGGCGGCATAATGTACATTTCTTGAAGCTTCTACAGTGAAGCCATTTTAACACAGTATGTGCCAGATAAATACTTGATGGAAAGTGATAGTAATTCCAAATGTTAAGGCTTTCCCTTATTCCTGGCAGGGTTTCTTCATATACTCTATCTAATTCTAGCTTCATCAAAGTTAGATGAGGCAAGAGAAAGAACAAGGTGAAGTTCAAACCTCGGTTCACTGGAAACTTAGTTGAGCCCTTTCGGCTATTTAATGTGTTCTTCCTGCAGCTTCTTTGTATCCAACCATCTACTCGACATCTCCGTGTGCATATTTAATAGATATTTCAAATCAAGTGGCCAAAGTATAACTCTTGATCCCCTAAACTTTCCCTCTTTCATTTTCCTTTCCTCAGTGAAGAGTCTCACCACCTATCCAATGACCCAAACCAAAAGTCTAACCTTTATGCCCCTTTCCTTTTTTCCCTCCTCCCATGCCAAGCCTGTCACCAGGTCCCTTCTGCTCTTCTGTGTCCACATCCAGCTGCTTCTAGCCGTGCATCCACCACCCTGGGCCAGTGCAGTGTTATCTCACTCTTCAAGACTGTACTAGACACCACCCCCCCACCCCCCGCACATCCCCCCATACCTGTTTCAGCGGGCTTCCCTGCAACACATTCTCTGCATGGCAGTGAGAGTGCTTTTAAATAAGTCATTTAAAAACAACTGTATGCCTCCAATGGCTTCCCTTTGTGCTCTCCTCCCTCTGGTTTATAAATGCCGAGGTGACTCGGTCCATGCCTGTCTTTCTGGGTCCACCTAATTCCACTCCTCCCCCACCCCACCCCTACTTTTATTTTTCCTTTTGTCCTCAAACACAGCATATCTGTTTCTCAACTTTAGGCCTTTGCAGTAGCTGTCGCTGCTGCCCAGAATAGTTTTCTTTCTCTTAATTACATGTCTGGCTTTTTTCTTGTCATCCATATCTGAAATGTCACCTCTTGGAAAAGGTGGTCATCAGGCTACCTAATGTAGCCAACCAGTTGCTCTGTCACACTACCCAATTTTAAAACTGATTCTTTTCTTGCCCTTTTATTGTTGTTGTTGTTAGTGTCTTATGTCTTATACTGTTGACTATAAAATATGCAGGGGCCTCTGCTTGACTTTGTCATTATTGCTGATCACAGAATATACTTTCTATAAATATTTTCCAAATGATTGTATAAATTGTTGCACTTCAAAGAAGGTGGGGACCATGGGAAGTTTCAAGAAGGAAATAGTTTTTTAACCTGAAGGAGTGGCCAGCAAATGTGAGGCTGGTGGGTGGCCTTGTTTGGGGACAGGTAACCTTTTTGCTTCTAAAGCCCCACTGTGGCATTGACCGCCAACCACCCTTGCAAAGAGAACTGGCTCACGTCGAGAGCATCCCCTAGCAGGCAAGCTGCCTTTGACATTTTGACTAATCTCTTCATCTTTCCCAGGATCAAGTTTTATTACTTCTGTGCAGGGTTTTCATTTTCAGAGATTGAAGAAGAACAGTGAGTCGTGGGGGCAGGCCTAGGAGACTAGGGACTGGTAAGCTACGCCCCCCTCTGCCTACCTTGGACCAGTCTCGATACCTCTCTCCACCTGCATTGTTAAAGATTGTACCAGAAACCTCCTGTGCTGTTCCCCCTTCTATTGTGGAACTTGCTCAGGATTTGCCTGCTCACTGCACTCTACTACCTTAAAATTGGGTGTATTTTGACTAGGTAGGTAGGAAGAATGGGGGCTACAGAGATAGTTTCGTAGAAAATCGTCGACTTACAGTTTCAATTAACCTACTAGACATCCCATTGACATCATTATGGGGGTTCACCAAACAACTTTGAATCATCTACCTGCTTCCTAGACACATTAAAGGGAAAACCCCATGTTAGAATGTCTAAACTCTGAGAGGAAGGCAGTGTAAATTCCAGGTCTTATAAGTAATAACAGCAAAAACACCCCCAAGACTCTTTCTGTAGTTGTTTCTTCCCTGAGAACTTTTTGGTGTATTGAAGGGAACTGTAGCTTGTATTTTCCTGCTTCTCTTCTACTATTTCATCTGTAGCTTTTGCCAGTGCATTTTATTTTATTATGTAAAAAAATTCTTATTTTTGTACATGCTGCTGAATATAGTAGAGGAAATTACTGTTTTATGAGTTTAGTGTCTCAATTACTTTCCCTTTCATAAATATTTCACATATGTCTCCCATATTAGCCTATTTGTTTTTCCCCAAGGTAGTAATATATGTGTAAGAGCAAAGTACTTTCAGTTTCGTGTGTCTTTGTGATGAGCTTTTGCTATTACTCTGAAATTCTCATAAGATTTTTAATGGTGTAAGTTTAGCCCATTTTTTTAAAGTACAGTTAAGCTGATTCTATAATCATTCTTTCTGTCAAAAATAAGAGGCTGAAGGCTTATTTTTGGCTTTTCCAGGAGTGGGGGTGAGGAGGAGCTGTTTGTTACTCTAGGCTAAGGTGGTGCTTTTTGTTATTCAAAGTGAAAACTGAAGGGACTGAAAAAGACCTAGTAAGTTTCACCATTGATCACACAAAGGCAACTCACACCCATCCAAAAGCACATTTTGCTTCACAAACTAGGTAGAGCGCTGGAGATCTATGGCGGCATTGTCTTGCACTGTGAAATCCATTTTCCTCCCACCAGTAATGCTTGGGCTGGCTAGGCTTTGGAGAAAATGGCCTTATTTTTTTCAGGGAACTGGGCCCTCAGTCAATGCTAAACATGTTTATTTAATAGATTCTTACGGATGCTAAGTGTGTTAGTCAATTTAGTGGCTGAGACTTGGTTCCTGAGAATCAGTGTGTAACTATAACCATGTAATACATCAGCCTTGGAAAAGAAGAAAACAAACATTTAAACAAACAGACATTCCAGTTTATTCCCATCTGTTCCATTTCCTTGCTCCTAGTGACCCCAAATAATTTTTCCCAGTATGTCAGCTTGTTCAGATATTTTAATGCTATGGTCATAGAATCCAGTTTCTACCAGCTGCTTGTTGCTTTGTCTTACTGCTTCATTAGTGAGTCTGTTTTCTTATTCACCTTAATTTTACTTGTGTTAGTGCCCCTTGGTCCTGTGCCAGAAGAAGTTCATCTGCTGATTGATTTATGTTGCCTGGGCAGATGATGACTCCACCAGCCCCAGGTTTCACAGTGGAAGACAATATCCATTGTTAACAAATGTGGGCTAGATTCTCAGGGTCATGATCTTCAATTGCTAAAAGTAGATTTATAAGAAAAATCACATTCTTTATGATGTTGGATAAAAGTCTATAGACCGAAATGTGGAGCTGGAAGTTAAATGCAAAGGCTTCTCCATTCAGTGATTTATTTCTTGTGAGACAAGGTTCATGGAAAGAGGAAATATGGTGTGCACCTTCTTTATGACCCATGATGTGACTTAATTACCTTTTCAACAGAAATCCCATTGGTTTTCCACTAAATCCCACAATCCTTTGTTGCCACTTCAAGCTGTCCTGCTTTCTTTCCAGTCACGTTCCTTTATTCTGTTTTCCCTCAAGCAGTGCAAACCTACGCTATATATAAGTAATTTGTAATTGAAAGGATTCAATAATTTTTGTATTATTCTACCTATTTTGCATTCTTCTTGTCTCCACTTAGTTGTCCAACATGTCTGGTTCCTCCTGTTTCCCATCCAGGTGTATTTTCAGGCAAGGATCAGAGACTCACTCATCCTGAGGTTCAAATACGTAATATGAGTTGTATGTGCTACTATGTCTAGAGATCCAAGTCCGAAGCCAAAAGTGTTAAACTCTAATAAAATAATGTCAGGCATTTGTTCTTCCATCTAGTGGAGCTAATCTTGTTAGCTTCACCATCAAATTATGGACAGCCTCTGAACACTTTGTTAGCTTTAATTGCTACCGCCCTGATTTAAGCCACCAGCATCTGGAGTATGTCATAGCTTCCTGCATGATGTCTCTGGCTGCTTGCTCCTTGTCTCATATTCTGCCTTCATAGCTAAAATGATAAAAGTGGTGCTTTAAAGTTGGCTCATGCCACACCTCTGATGAGACCCTTGAATGTTTTCAGTTATTTTCATAGGAAGGTAAAAGTCCTTACAATGACCTCCAAAGTCCTGCATGGTCTGCCCCGTCTCTGTCCTCATCTCTGCTCGCTTTCACCCTATTCCTTTCCCTTGAGCCACATTTACCTCTCTGATGTTCTTCCCACATTAGACCTTTACATTTGCTGTTTCCTTGGCCTGGAGTGTCTTACCCCCAGATAAGCACATGACCCTCTTTTTGCATTTCCTTCACGTCTTTGCTCAGATGTCACCTTATCAGAGAGTACTTCCCTGGCCACTCTAGAAAATAAAGTAACTCGCTCTACTCCCAGTATACCTTTTTTAGTCTATGCCTCATATGAATTTCTTTATTTCACTTACCGACACCTGATACAGTAAGTATTATTGGTTGTCTGACTGTGCCCCACCCCACCTAATTATAATGCATACATCCCGAGTGCCTGGTTTGTTTGTTTTGTTCAATACCACATCCTTAGGGCCTAGACAGAAGTGTCTCCAATGAATGAGTGACTTCCCCATCAATTTGATCACATTTACTTGTTCAGGATCGCTCCCCTGAAGTCTGTGAGTTTACTCCAGGTAGGGAAGACATCTTTAAAAATGTTTTTCATATGATAGGGATTTTGTGGAATAAGCACACAGGTATCTCCATTTTTGGATGTTAGTCTGATAATTTCACTTAAACAACAAAATGAAAAGAGTAGAAAGGAGAAATGGTGTAGCGTAAATTGACATCAGACACAGTTGCTTGAAGGTACTGATCATCTGAAGTCAATGTATGGACAGTATTTGTTTATATGCATAGTTCCTTTTTAATGAACATATCTTCATGGTCTGACCATGGGACCATGTTCCCAAAGGCATTAATACATTTTGGGTTACAATGAAATGCATATGACTATAGGTATCTCTCCTACAATACCGAACTCGGGTTTAGGAACTCCTTTGAACTGTTGAGTTTATGCTATACTCAGATGTATGGGACAGAAGGGGAAACTGTTATTTAACTTGAGAGAGTGGTACTTGCTTTTAAATAACTATTTAAGTGGGAGAAATATCTTTGATGTAAATATTTAGCTGGCCAAAATATTACTTTGTCTTTATCAAATCATGTTTTCTGAGGAACTTTGTGGGTTGCCCCTCTGGAATACCACACCTTCTCTGTGTGCAGCCTGGGTGTAGGGACCACTGGGGGCACAGATGGACATGATGTATGTCATTGAACTCCTTGGCATGGGCTTTTTGAGAGGAATAAAAGTCTGTACCCATGCTGGCAGAAAAAGCTGTGGTCACATATAGCACTGAAGGGAAAGCTTTGGACTTAAAAAAAAATCATTGAATTTGCAGATGCTAAGATTCTCATTGTCAGAATAGTCTGTGCCATGAATTTTGTAATTGAGCTGAGGCAGAAAATCCAGAGAGGCCAGAAGAGCCACATAGCAGCTTTTGAGAGTTTTATCTACAACTTCAGTTATCAAGTTCCTTAAAGTATTTAGTAGATAGGCCCCTAGTTTTCTCATCTAGAAACACGGTTATTAGAATCAATGGTCCATAGCCTTTCTTCTAGCTCTGGACTCTGTGGTCACTGTTAGTAAGGGAGGTGGGTTATAGCTGTTTGGGGAAAATCAGCAAAATATTAGAGGTAAAGAGAAAGTGATTTAAAAGTTACAAAGGAACAGCTGTAAGACATATACAATGGAAATGTTAAATGGAAGAAAGGAGAGGTATTGAACATTGCTTCGTTAATATACGCAGGGTTACCTGCCATAGCTCTCTGTTCTTCCTCCCTCACTGGGAGGAAGCTAACGGAATGAGACTCCCAGGAATGCTGTGGATGTTTACTTCCACAGGGAAAATGGATTGACGTTTTTCAGATTTGGATGATCTAGGTATATTCAGTCTGGAAGCAGATGGCTTAACTTGCTGAATACTCCAGGCTCCATCTGCACTGGCCAGTGAGAATTTGTGTTTATAACATACCTATGCCTGACTAACCGTCAGTCATTCAGCCTGTGCTGCCAAATAACTTGCTAATTTGCCTGGCCAGGGAGCATGTAGTGCCATTCTGGGACTCCCTGAGCTGTAAAGTGCAGGCATATTATGCTGTTTTTCTGGACTGGCACTGTAGAGAAGAAGAAATTCAGGCTTGAAAAGTGGCTTGCCCTCTCCTAATTGGGGTGTCTTCCACGGTTTGACCATTGGTAAGTGCGAAGTCTGTCCTCAGGTGCTCGCTCTCTGATGCTGTAGCTCTGTGGAAAAGTATACTGTGCCTCTCAAAGACTGTTCCCGTGACCTTTTTCTACTACTGATTTTTTCATAATGTGAAAATCCTTTGTAATAAAGAATGATTCTATTAATTGAGCAGTTCACACATTACCACCTAGACAAGTGACTTCCTGCACAAGGTTTTGGCAGAGGAAATCAATCTCCATGTGCCTATGGCTCCTCGAGGACCTGACTCTGGGCATCGTTACAGCAGAAGCCTCCTGGCTGATCTCACTGGTAATGACATACCTGTATCTGAATGATTGCCATGAACAAGAGAATCACACATCCCCATAGCAGAAAGCCTGTGTACATGATAGCTCCAAAGACCACTGGGCACACACTCCATTTCTCACCTTCCTCTCCCCAGTCTATGCTTATGCAAACCTGTACCAGTGACAGCAACGTTCTGACCTGCGGTGGGTCCTATGAGGGGTTTAGGCATAACTTTAGGCATTCACATGCACATCCAGCTTGTACCTTCAAAATTAATGTGGTTCTACTTACATTCACAGCATCCCTTCTTGGTTGTCTGTCTGTGGGGACCGGCTCTGGGAAGCCCCTTTGCTTCTAAAGCTGTACAAAATAAAGAATGACCTCTTTTCTTTCACATCCAGATACAAAGAATGTTTGCTTATGTGTGTGGGTGTGAGAGCGGCATTACAAGCCTGAGTTAAGGATGTTTTGGTCTCTGAGTTATACTGCTATTGGAAGGAGCATTGCCAGTTTCAATAAATGTTTTCTGAGCAGCCAGGTGCCTCTGTGCCAAAAATACCTTGTCTGGAGAGCTCTGGGGGGAGCTGGGGAAATAACTGCACAGGGATGTGGCTACTGGCGTCATGAAGCAGAACATGCAATTCAAAATGCTTCATCCCCTCTGAGCCCTGTGCCTGCATCCTCTTTGAGGGTCATCAAAGAGGCCCTCCCTGCTCTGCACTGATATCAGTGGATAAAGTAGACAGGATAGTTTAGACTGAGTTTCTCAAAATGTACTCCTTGGATCACTTCCACTGAACCAGCAGAAGTATCTGTTACAAACCATATTTCTTTTGCCCCAGACTACATGAATCAGAATAGTTACCGGTAGGGCTTGAGAATCTCTACTTCAAACAGTTTTCTTTTAAATTTTATTTATTTTCTAGAGAGAGAGGAAGGGAGGGAGAAAGGGAGAGAAACACTGATGTGAGAGAGAAACATGGTTTGGTTGTTTCTCGTACGTGCCCCAACCAGGGACCAACCCAGCAACCCAGGCATGTGCCCTGACTAGGAATTGAACTCATGACCTTGTGTTTTGCAGGATGACACCCAACCAGCTGAGCCACCCTGGTCAGGGCCAAAAAGTTTTTTATTTTTTATTTTTTGTACATAAATATAGGGAGTTATTGGCCCATGCATACACTTAAGGGAGAAAAGTTCATGTTTCCTTTATATTTATCATTCTGACTCCCACTGTGTATGGTTAATAGGACCTAACTGTAATTGTCCCTGTTTTGTACCCAGCAGTATGTAAATATTTCTCAAAGGTTGAGTTTTCCAAGATATCTTTAATCATGTTCTTTCCTCCATGGCTGCCTCTGAGTTTGATCATGCTTTTTATCTTTCTGGAGCTACAGCTCAACTTTAAAAATGCAACGCTGATACCCTTGCTGCTGTCAGCCACCATAGGGGCTGTCAGAGAGCTCGCCTGGGCTCCAGGGTGATATGGTCCATCCACTGCTTTCCTGCCGGAGAATTAACTGGGAATTAATGTGACTGCCCTTCCAGTCTAGGCGACTTGTAGCATTGCATGGGATTGTGTGTCAAGTTGCTGTCATCCCTGGTAAGAGTGTAATTCTGATTAGTTTAGGGCTTGAAGACTGTTTCAAAACAAAAAATGGCCACACATTCTTTGAGAGGTGGGGTCCCCTTACATCTGGGCAGGCTCTGTCATGCTCTCTGCGATCCCATGTGGCGAGGCGCCTCCCCACCGAACTGTCCAGTGTAAGAGTGAAAGCTCTGTGGACCCACCAGACCAGGTCACTCTCAGCTGGTACTACAGAAGGACACCAGTCAAGGCCTCACGGGCACGTGAACTACCTGGCCTAGTCCTGCCTGAACTGCTGACACACAGAATCATGAGAGATAATAAAAAGGTTGTTACAAGCCACTACATTTAGGGGATGTTTGCTCTTGAGAATAGATTGCTGTTGAGTGGGGAAGGGGAGTTTGTTTTTACCTCAGGAGGGAGTTCATCAGACAACTGGCAGTAATATTGGTAACAATAACCTAATACAATAAAACACCCACACAATACTTGCTGGAAGAACATATGTGATGGAAAACATATGTTTTACCTAATGAATTCAGAGCAGTTGAAGGATTCTTCTTGATTTATAAAACAACATACTTCACAGTATTTAGGAGGGAAATGAATATAAATTGAGCTGAATATATAATGGAGGAACCAGGCACTGAGGTATTAAACAGTTGCTTAAATTTTTACCACAGTTGGCCAGCAATGCGTTCATACATAGAACTAGGTCTCATGGAGCATGGCGTTCGCGCTCCTTCCTCTGCAGTTCACAGCGGTGAGTGTTTCCCCTGCACCTGGAACACACATGCAAGCTCTGGGGCGGACATCATGAACTACTGCTTTCCCTTCTCACATATCATGTACTCTAAGATATTTTATTTATTGTCTTTTATAAAATGCTGGTCAAATATACTGAATACATTTCATGACCCATTAATGGATTATATCCTACAGGATGAAAAACACTGCACTAGATGTTAAGCTTCATAGAATCAGGGATTCTGTCCTGTTCACCACTGTCATGCACAAGTGCTTAGAAAATTCGGGTTTGTCGAAGGTGCCCCAGTATTTAGTGAATGAGTTTTAGGACAATACTTCCAGTTTATTAAAAGGAAAGCATATGTATCAATCACAATTGTGGAATGCTAGTGTCAACTCTTAAATCATTTTATATCTTTGAGTGGGACTTCTCTATTTTCTCACCTATAAAATGGAATTTGTGATATCTAATACTCAGGGGATAAAATGAGCCCACAAATATAAAACTTTTTTGAATTAAAGATATAACATTATAAATAAGAGATAAATGTATCTGTTACTTATGTACTTTGAAATGTCTAAAGATGTCACATAAATACTTCCCTTTGTTACTTTAATAACACTTCACTAATTTGGATTAATTAGACAAAAACTGGTGAAAAAATTAGGTCTAAATTTAGACTTTTTAAATAAAAAATTATTTAAAATTTTATTGAGTAAGCAAATAGTTATAAAACGGGCTGGGTAGATGCCTACCTTGAAGTATCAATTGGGGTGTTAGCAGACTAGCATACTGAGTAAAGCTTAAACAGGTCACCTGTAGTCAAAGTACACTGTTTTTGTGTAATTGAATATTTCTGAAATTGTGAAGAGAGGCTTGGTTGGGGTAAAGTGTCTTTGCTATACCTTCAGAAATTTATTAATTCCTGTGTATGTATTAAAAAATACCACCATTTCTAAATCACTGAGGTTTGGATGTATGATATTTTGAGCCATGTCTGTGGAAGACTTACAGATTTTGCTAAATTGTTGCAGTAACAACCAAGAGCTCTGAGCTCTGAGCAAGATTTTTATTTTACCAGGGGTAAATCTGCTACACAGGCTCAGCTAACCTTCCCTGTAAGCCTCATGAGAATTTCCCCAGCTTGCATTCTGGGTGAGGTAGCATGATATAATAGTTTGGTGCACGGGTTTTGAAATTAGAAAAACCAACTTCAAATTTTGGTCCTGCCATGTTCAATATGTGTGACTCCAGGCAGATTTCTTTATCTCGAAGAGTTGTGAGCTTAGAATGAGATACAGCAGGCACATACATATATGAAGTATTTAACATAAAGCCCAGCACATAGAAAACATTCAATAAATGCTAGTTCCTGTCAGGAGGTGGTGTTATTTTTAGTAATTGCCACTTCTTTCTTGTTTGGACTAGCTAGCTGTTAGAGCTGGGCCTCTAGGAAAGAGATTTATTTGCTTAAGAAATAAGCAGGTTTCTTGAGGATCCAAGAGAAATCACAAGTTTTGCCATATTCTGATACTCAACCATGTGATACCTGGAAATTAAGTTGAAAACACAGGAAACGTGTTTCAACTTTCTGTATTGAGTTGAAAATGTCCCAATAGCAGCTCTCAACCAAGGACCAGTGTCCTCGGGTGCATCACTGAACACGTACCAGTCATCAGTCTTCCCTTTGTTTTCTGGGGGAAGGGCTGCCCTCTTCAATTTTATAATTCGTCAGAGAAACTGGGGCACTAATGTGATTGCTCACTCTGTGATGCTGAGCTATTTTGAAGTATCCTTTCTAATTGACTTGAGGCAAAATTGTGAAGTAGTCATTTGTCTCTGTCACTCTAGTCCTTCCTCCTCCCCTGATACCACTCTCCCTTCCCCCTCATCCTTCTGTCAGTGAATTCCTCCTACTTCATATCACAGGTGAGCTGAAAAATGGCTTCAAAGGTTGTCCCTTTTAGGGACAGTTGTGCTGTAGAGGATGCTGAAGAATTAAACAAATACTTTTCTATATCTGTGTTTCAGATATTGCAGGCCAGTCAGAGGAGAATTTTGGGGAGTTATCCTGGTAAGCTTTAAGTTCAAAGGGCCTTCTCAGCTGAAAAAACATTGTGGCATTGAAATAGAGGAAAATCTATCACAACATTTTCCAAGGTGCAGTCCATGGGATGTTAGTTGGTTTAACTATTATCAGATACTTTTAAGAGACTCTGCCAATAACAAAGTTATAAAGGTTTATTTGATGTAGAGATTCTCAAAACTTAACAGGCTCAGGTTAAAAGAGGTGCTTTGAACTTCTAAGGGGTATTTAGGACGTAGCATTTTTTAATCTTTTTTGATTATCTCCCTCTTTTAATTTCTCGTGAAGCAACTTCAGTATTTATGTGACACAGAACATACTTTACAAAGCCCAGTCTAGTCCACCCCTCTAGGACAATGAGTAAACTGAGGCAGGGAACAATAAGTAACATGCTCACAGCTACCTATTGAGCTGACTGCAGAGTCAGGACCAGAAAGCAGACTCTCTGACCCTACAACATGCTCAAAAACCTCCTCGCTGTTCCAGATTTAATGTCTGTCTTCCCTGCTGGATAGGGTGCTGTCAAGCAGGACCTTTCACTCTTCCGCGCATCTCTGTATCCCTCACACCTAGCACAGTACCTGGTGCATAGTGCTTGAACCAGTACTTATTTAAATTAAATTGAGATTGTTCATGGGGATGAACACATGCTGTCTGTTCCTCTCTATGTCCACTCCTTCCCCTCCCAGCCTGCTCCCTACTACAATGCTACGTGTGAAGGGGTCAGGGCCAAGTTCCATACTTACACTGAGAATACGTGGTCCCACTTCCGCTGACGCTGAACCTGTTGAGGTGTAGTCTGTGTGTAACCACATTCTTCTGGGGCTGAAACAGGACGATGTGCACCTTGGGTGCAAACAGACAGCCCAGGACCACGAAGCCGCTTAGGCTAACGGATATGCACATGGTTGTCGTCTGCACCTACAAGAATAAGTTGCCTAGTTAAGTGTCTGGCTGCAAATTCTATCAGGAGGTCAGCTAAAGAGAGCACTGAAAAAAAGAACAAATTAAAAAACCCCAAATCATCCACATTTCTGTTCTTATTATAGACAGACCAATGCAGCAATTATATTGGATCTTCCAAGTTTGAGATGTTTGTGGAAATGGTGCTTAGGATTTGTAAGCAAACACTATTTATGTTGGGTGCTCCTGAATGCTTGCCAAGACTTCCATTGATTTTCATGTTTTGTTTGTTTTCTTCTTTATATTTGTATAAAGATATTTCTGCAGTCCTGGGTGGGTGGCTCAGTTGGTTGGAGCATCATCCTGTATACCACAAGGCTGCAGGTTCAATCCCCAGTCTGGACATGTATGGGAGGCAACCAATTTATGCTTTTTTTTCTCTCTCTCCCCTCCTCTCTGTTTAAAATCAATAAGTGCATATCCTTTGGTGATGATTTTTTTTTTAAAGACACCTCTGCACAATCAGTGAATTCAGAACCTTAAATAGTAAAATGCCAATCTTCAATGATGAACTGATCAGATTGCTGATGGTATCAGTCAGTTTGGCTTGTTTGAGGTTCACTATATTAGGAACAAGTCCAGGCTTTTTACATTTTCCTAACTCTCATGCTGGGAACTCTGCCTATTAGATCCTGGTTTTCCTAGTCAATATTGGAGGACACTATCAACTTTCTTCTGGGGAACCTATTCTTTTAATTACTTCATTGTCATCTCTCTGGAATTTTGATACATCAGATACTCACTGCTTAATGTTTTTTGTTCTCTAGCCCTGACATATAAATTTCACTGTACTCCCATCCCTGACACATAACTTTCACTTTCTTTCTCTTTGCTTCCCCTGAAAGTATACCTCAGGACTAGGCTTTATCATCTCTGCTTTTTATTCCCTTGCTGTTACTCTTCACCTCTGAGCTCATTGTTAGTCCTGGCTTCAGCTCTCACAGAATTTTTTTTGGAAAAGTCCCAAATTAGATTCTACATATTTTATCACTTTTTGTGCTGAAAAATGGAAATTAATGATTTCTTCTATAAGTTTCTACTCAGAGTAGCTATGGTAAACCCTAGAGTAATTTTAGATTTCTTTTTTCCCCAGACAATGCTATTACCAGAAAACAGAATTCCTTATAACTTTAAGTGTTCAACTTTCTTCTTTAATCAACAAAAGCTGAAGACTGAACAGTGAACTGGAGAAGCCACATAATTTTAGAAGGCTTCATTCTGCTTTTGATAAAGAAAAAATTCAGTTTGCACTTGTAGCATAATTCTGCAGACGCTAGTTTTTCTATCTTCTATCTATCTATCTATCTATCTATCTATCTATCTATCTATCTATCTATCTATCTATCTATCTAACTATCTACTTATTTATCTATCTATCTACCTATCTATCATCTATCTATTTTTCCCCTCACCCTAGGGTATTTTTTCATTGCTTTCTAGAAAGAGAAAGGAAGGGAGAGAAGGAAACACTGATGCAAGAGAGAAACATTGATTTACTGCCTTCTGCATGTACCCGGATGGGGATAGTTCTCTCCTGGACCAGGGATGGAACATGCAACTTGGTTATGTGCCCTAACTGGGAATCGAACCTGAAAACCTTTCTGTTATGGGAAGACACTCCAACCAACCAAGCCTCAATGGCCAGGGCTAGTTTTACTTTAAATCACAGGTGACAAACACAAGGCCCATGGGCCGAATCTGGCCCTCCACCTTGTTTTATCCCGCCTGGCACCTTGTTTCTACCCGACCGCAGCCCTGAGCTTTCGCTTAACTATTAAGGAGTTGTTACATTTATACAGTCCTAAAATTACATTCGGCCCTTTGAAGGCAACTGTGAGGTTGATGTGGCCCCTGGTGAAAATGAGTTTGACATCTCTGCTTTAAGTGCTCAAAACATATTTAGTATTTTAAAGCACTTGTCTCCCTTAACCAGTCCAGTGTCCTCCAACTTGGCCCTAAGTTGCAAGCTCTTTTCTCTTGTCAACTTCTTAGAAGAGACTCTACCATCCATGATATGAAAGCCTTGATAAATCATATCTGTTATTTACAGTAAGTCCAATTCCTGGCATAACTTATTTACATATATATGTGTGTGATGTGTGTATATATATGTATATATGTATTATACATGTACATTATGATAGTAAAACTGTCCTCTTTCTCCCTTGGTTTTGGCTGTGGAGCTAATATGAGAGATGACAGATATCAGAGTGAGCGTGAAATAAGTTCAAATGTACACATTTTTAAGGAAATCTTTTCTGAAATGTTTCTGTAAGACTTTACAAGGACAGAGGAGAAGAGGCTTTTATGAGGGAAATATATTGAAAAAAGCTGTGCTGTGTGTCCTATACCCTTCAAACCATTGGCGGGGGATGGGGTGGGTGGGTTGTGCCTAGTTCATCATGTAAATGCTAGGGAGGATTTAGAGATTTCTGGCCATTCACAGAAAGTTTGAAGTTTTTCTGCAGGAGGAGGATGCCCTCTGGCTCAGGGCCTGATTCCTGTCATAGAAATCTAAAAGGTGAGAAAAGCTAATTACCTTTGGAGCAGAGCACAGGGACTTGCTCCTTCACTGTAAGAATTTAGTAAACCAAAGGACATGGGAGTGGTATTCGTGGACAAGAACTTGAGCCACACTGTAAACAGCCACCACGGGTAGGCCTGGGCTCAGGAGGAGGAGCCTGGAGCTCTGCACAGGGAGAAATTGGAGGCCATGTGCAGAGCTGGTGTGCTGGGGCTGAGCCTAGGGCCACAAGAGGGAACTCAGACTAGAGAATTAATTGCCAGCCAACTCACTCAAGGATCTGCAGGAGAAAGGGGATGGTGGGAAACTTGCGAAGATCACAGGAAAACACCCTTTAACCCCCTTCCAGGTATTCTGAGGATGTGTCTTTAACCACTGTGGACTTAGAGATCATAAAGCTGGCCAGCCACATAAGAACAGTCCCACTTCTTCCTTATTCCTCTTTAACCAGGGCTGAGAGGGAAATATCAACTGGTAGACTGGGGAGGGTGAGCAGAAGAAAGGAGGGAACCACTACAAGCTCTCAGCCAGAGGCAGACCAGACCCTAGGGGAAAATGATTTTTAATGGTAAGTTAAGATATGGCTTTGATAACTACATAGGATTAAGCATTTAAATGTCCCACTGGAAATGATAGTAAGACTGTATGTTACCTAAGAACACAAAACCTCATAGGCCTACCACAGTTGTGAGCATTTTCATCCATTGCTCTATCCTCAGCACCAGAATGGAAATCGGTAGCAAACATGTTGACCAAGTTGAATGGCTAACCAAGCAATAAATAGTGATCTGCTTTATTGCCTATTAATGAGGAGCAATTGGGGAGGGGGCCAGGGGCTGAGAAACAGAAGGTGGTTTCTGCTAGAGCTGTTGTGTTTTTGTTCCCTCTCCTTGAGGGTGGGAGTAGACTAGGGTGAATTTCCTTCCCAATCTAATTTAGGTCTGCCCAATCTAACAACTAGCACTGCAAGTTTTCCTAGGTAGGCAGAAAGTTGTGCTTCCTTTCACATAACAGTTGCAGAGACATGCACCTACACTGAGCATCAAAAGAGGGACTTTCAGAGGAGGCAGAAACCAGGTGAATTATTTGAACTTTGGCTGGTTCCCTTTGGGAGATGAGGGGGCAGGGTGCATAATGCTTATTAAGGCAGACTGACAACAGCTGAGCTCTCTTCGGGCTCATCCCCCGCTGAGGTCTCTCATGCCAAATTTAGATCCATTGCAAGATGACAAGGTCTCAGTTTTTTGCAGCAGAACCTGGCTGCGAAAAAGATTTGGTGCTCTCTGCGAGATTTTTCTGAGACAGAAAAATACATCGAGAAACCGTAAATAAAGCACTGACTAGTATTTGGGCTCTTACTGACCTGGATTAGGTTTGAAATGCTGACAAAGGCGGTGCACTAAAGAATGAGAAACTGGTGCAGAGGAATCTAGATAAACCCTTGCAATCAGCTGCCCCACTGGAAAACTTCCCTAGCCCTTTCTTTACTCTGGGCAAGACCCTAAGAGATGTTATACTGATGAGATAGCAAATGCCCTGGATTAAGATGGGCTCCTTTAAAAAATTGCTGCTGTGCAAGTCAAGCCCATGTCAGCTGAAGGGCACGTAGCATGCGCCCAGGCAGAAGGCATCTGGCTCTGGCCATGGAGTCCAGGGGTCCTCAAAATTGAAATGAATAGTGGCAGTCATGTTGATCTTGCTATCCACGTTACAGATTTTGGTGCTCAGAAACAGCAGACCTTCCTGTGGCTGAGCCATGAGTAGTTGCTGCCTAAACTGAAAGCCTGTGTGCCTTGCTTACTGGCACAGGACTGCTCTCTCTCCCATACAGTCTGAATCTTCCTGACTCTCCACTCTAATTTCAGCTGCTTTGAGGAGAAAGATGCTTAAGGATAGGACCAAGGTCTCCCCATTCCCCAGGGTGGCTGAAGTCCATACGCACCAGACCCAGTACGCTGGGAGACTTTGGTGGGGGGAAAGAACTCTAATTTTTTGCTCTGTTGGTGACAGCCAAGTCAGCATTCGAGCCAGACCTGCTAGGGGGAAGGCAGGACTGAGGCTAGAATGAGCCAAATGAGGCACTTGCTTGAAGTGCAGATCTATGGGGGCACCAAAAACGCTGTAATCATGACAAATATTTTATTGCAATATTTAAAAAAATAAGCTTCATACTAGAGACCCATGATGAACACAGGACCAACATTTTCATTGAGGACAGGCTCGGCAACCATGCTGTGCTGTGACATGTTCAATTTAAGGCAAGAAGAAAAATTAGTGACACTGATCCTGTCCCGATCACTGCCTATGCAGGTGTCCCCTAGCCCGCTTGCATCGCCTGGTAGAAACTGGGACTTGGGGAACCTACAAAAGTGCTGACCCTTTGGTTACAGTGACAGCTGTGAGTAATAGAGTCCTTTGTCTATGAATCAGGAGTCTCCAGTCTTCTATGGGCAACCCTGAAATGGCGGCAGGCTAACTTGTGAGATGGCAAGATGGGTCAAAACCCTTCACAGCTCTTGGCAGGCTCCCTGTCCACTGTTAGCATCCTACCGTCAGCTCTGACTGGAGCACAGCCACCTAACCAGTCTCCCCGCTGCTGCCTTTGCTTCCTGTCACATAGACACTGTCTTTAGAAGCTTCATTTCTTTTTTCTAAAATATGAGATCACCAAATGTGAGATTATCAAGCTCTTCTGCTTAAAATCTTTCAATGGTTTCTTTTTTCATATAGAATAAAATCTGTTCTTTTTGCAGTAGCCTATAAAGTCCAACATGATTTAGTTCCCCTGCCTACCTCTCATATAAAATCGCTCTTCTATTTGTTCATTAAACTGTGGCCATATACACCCTTATTTTCTACGACATTTTTACCTAGACATGTTTGTACTTGCTATTTCTTCTGTCTAGCACATAGAATTCCCATGCCTGGCTCTTTCCCAGTCTTTAGTGGAGTATTATGAAACAGGCACTACTTATTTGTTCTTTTTAATTGAATTTTTGGGGTGACATTGGTTAATAAAATTACATAAGTTTCAGGTGTATAATTCCATAATATTCTAATATATCATCTGTACACTGTATTTTGTGTTCACCACGCCAATCAAGTTTTCTTTCATCGCCATCTATCCCTTTTTACCTTCCTCTACCTCCCCCTACTCCCCTTTCCCTCTGGTAATTACCATACTGTTGTCTACGTCTATGAGTTATTATTATTATTTTTTGCTTAACCCCTTCACTTTTATAAAAAAGAATTTGAGATTCAGTATATTTTTAAAGTAGTCAACATGGGAAAATCAGTATTTGGACCTTGTCAAAATTCTGGAATCACTTCTGAAATCTCTGCCTACTGTAGGTAAAGTGCTTTAAATGTCCCAAGCCCAGTAACAATCCAGCATCTTGATATCCAAAGGACAGTCCTTTGTTTAGCAGTGTCTCCATCATCTGAGAGCTTGCTAGAAATCCAGACTCTTGGGCCTCATCCCTTCTTACTGAATCAAGATCTCCAGGTAAGTTATGTGCACATTAAAGTTGGCAAAGCTCTGCAGTAGCAAAGCCTTCTCTTCCTTCCATCATAGTACTTACCCCTGTATGACTTAACCTGCATTTCTTATTTATTCATTATTTACTCTCTGCCTCTTCTTCCCAAACACTTACAGCCTTGTAAGTTATAAAAGAGGAGGACTTCTCTGTGTTGACACTTTGTATCTTCAAGGCCCATAATGAGTGCTCAAATATATTTGAAAGGCATGAATGAACAAAACACTCAGTAGTTACTATTAATTATTTATTTTATGGGTAACTTCCAACCAAACATGGCCTCGTTTTTATTTATACCATTTAAACTGTGTGTTAGATCCCTGGTGACTCAGTTAGATTCTTACACTCTTTGGGATAGTTTCCTTGTAACACAGAAAAAGATGGCCTGGATTGTTCTGAAAGATCCCTTCAATTTTCAGATTTTTGCCCAAGTTCTTGCTTGCTTTGCCTTGGATGCCTATACTAGCTTCAATTAGCCCTGGTCATTCTAGACTCTGCTCTTCTAAATCCAGCTTCCATATCAAGGATAGATAAGCTTGTGGTGTAATGTGAAAGAAATGCATTTAGGTCTGAAAAACATGTCCTACTATTTCCTTACCTGAGCCACCTGGGAAATTAATTATCCTCTGAGTTTGTTTACTCTTCTCAGTGGATAATAAAATTTGCTTTCCAGGGTGCTGATGAGGATCAGTGACTAGCTCACGTATGCAAAGCATCTAGCAGAGTAAGATCTCAGAGTTGATCAGGAAAGTTTCTTCCCTTTCTTTTCCTCTTACCCTTTACATCTTGTCACTTTTTGCTTGAGCAAACAACCAACAAAGGAAAACAAGAAAAAAATTTAAAATGCAAGAACTCAAAGCCCTTAAAGACTATGTAGATGAATTCCTCTGCCTGGTATAATCTGACCAAGTTGCCAATTCTCATTAGTTTCTCACTAGATCCCCCGAACCCATTTTTCCACTTGAGTATGGCCAGTATCACTGGGTTCTGCTTGGCCCATTTCTGTCTCACCTCAAGACTATTCCCTGCATGCCCTATACTCTCCAACTACTGCAACTGCACTTGCTCACCAAAGTACAGGGTGAAATCCCACCTCTTCAAGGAGTATTCCTGGAAAGACCAAGCTCTTACTGATGCAATTTTTCTCTGAAACCTGTAGGCATTTAAGAGATTGTATCACCAATTTAATTATAAACTCTTCTGTGTTAATCTTGAGTTCTTTCATGCTTGTTATGTTTTTCCCAGCTGGGATATATGATTTTTGAAGATTGGAATCATGCTTTATATTTATTTATAACTCACAATAGGTGGCAAAGTACTGAGTCATAAACCCTGCTGACTGTTTGATGCCCAAATTCCTTGTAGCTGCCTTCAAATTATTGGGTGGTACTTTTCTAATGCTGCTGCTTCTATCTGAGCCACAGGGTTTCTCTCTGGGAAATTTAAAATCTCATTCTGGAATATCCATAACAAAAGTCTTAAGTTCCAACATCTACAGGGTCTGTGCAGATTCATAAGGGAAGAGAGCCGGGTGTAAGAATTCGCAGACTGGTGGGGGTGAGGGCCACAGGACTGACAGTGCCCTGGCTTGAGGTGTAGACACTACTCAGACCCGGCTCATCATTGCACGTAGGAATTGAGTTTACTTGTATTACTTTGATAAGAGAAGCCAAGAATCTGGACATTTACATAACATTTCTCAATTTTCTAACTTTGAAAAATATTTCAAAGAATTTCAAAATAGTGCAGGCCAAACTGAAGACATCTGTGCAACCATAAGACCTGGTGATTCATTAGAGCAGAGGTTTTCAGTCTTGGCTGCAAATGAGGGCCACTTGGGAGGCCTTGAGAAAGCCTGATGTCTAGCCTGCAGATCAGCCAACTAAACCACTAAATCGGAACCTCTCGGGATGTGCCTCAGGTAGCAATATATATATTTTTAAAGCACACAGTTGATTCAACGTGTAGCCCAACTTGAAAACCACTGTGTTGGAGGCTCCAGTCTACCTTCTCATTTCCTTTGAACATTTAGGATTGGCATTATTTGTAAGGAAGAACTGAGGCCACTGATGACTTCACTGTGACTGGATTGCCTTAGTTAGTGTGGAACTTAAAACACTCAACCCAGCAACTTCTGCCCCGTTGGCCTAAGGGCTTCTGCCATGTGGTGAAACTTCTGGTATCTTCAGGTAATTCCATTTAATCAGTTTATCTACATTGCCATCAGGTTAAAGGAAAAGAGTCATTTTTGTGTGTGTTTTAGAAATAAATGTTAATTCATTCAATAACATTACATTTTTATAATGCTATTTGTTTATTCTCAGGAGTGTTTTCTGCTCTGTTTGTCAATAGTATTCTTTTTGAGAATTAAGTTTCATATATCCAGGATAAAATAATTAATATTGTAACTATTTTGTAGTCCCAATAACCCAAATCATGTCTGCTAAGTGTGGTTTCCTAAGAACTTAAAAAAAAATCCTTAGAGATCTAGAGCTGTGATGTGCACCTGAAGACAAAAGATGAAAATGGGGACATTACAGTGTAAGAAGCATGACCCTCTATCTTAACCCACACTCTAAAGCTTCATACTCCCCTGTGGCTCACATAATCTGACCTTTGATTTTGCTGTTTCAATTCTGTTTTCTTTTCTGATAATTTGCAAATTTTTAAACAGTTAGTCTTAAAAATCCTGACATTACTCCAGCATTGAACTTATGTTCTTTAATTTTCTTGCTCTTGCTTCAATGTAGTCCACAGGTTTCAGTCACATGGCTGTGAATTTAGTAGACTAGATACATTAGTATTCCCAGTCTCTTGATCTCATCCTTTAAAGAGTTTTGTCATTTTTGGAGCTGCAATGTTCCAAGATTTTGGTGATGTAGGGATTGCTGATAAACAGAAGATTTGGGGACAGTTAACAGCCTGCAGAGGACTTCATTTTGTGAAACCAAGGTGCAATAGGGAAACCATTATGCTTCTGAAAAACTGTCATCTGTGACAACTTGAGAAGTCTAGAGAATAAAATCCAATTGCCTCAAGAGAAAAAAATTCTTATATTTACTTATTGGAATATATTAAAATCAGAATTATAAGTGTAAAGCAACTGATAGATGGTTTCAACAATTTGAGACATTATGATGGAGTGATGATATTTCTTTCAGAGAAGATGGTAATTATATTGAAACCCAGAAATTGTGAACTATATATTACTAAAGACTATATGAATGATGACTTAATTAGGTTACTTGGATATATACAGTAAAAACTATAACTAGTTCAAGGAATATATATACTCCTTATGTCTACAGGAACTAAAATTACAGAAAAGGTATAACAAACTAACATTGTATTTTAATGTGTTTTAGAGAAATAATGGTGCTTATTTGAAGCTTGAGTGAAAATTTTTAGATCTTTAAACTGATCCTGGCTTAATGTTATAAACCCATTTTAACTTATATATCCATCTGTGGTAGCCAGGTCCTCTTGTTTCTCATTTGAAGTAGTCTCAAGGCTTTTAGTGGTTTAAGTCTTATTTTCTTATCATTCATTTTCTAAATTTAATTAAAAGTTTTAGGGGTATGTGTATGTATTACATTTTCTCCCACTAGATTATATTTTGTTTGAATGACCATGCATTTACATTTATCTTTCACTCTGTGCCTAGCACAATGCTTTGCACATAGTAGGCACTAATTAAATGCTTTTAGGACACTGTGAATTAATTTCCATATATAATATGGTGGTTCATCATAACATTAGTAATTACCTACCTAGCTGCTGAGCTGAAATGAAAGGAGTCATTTTAAATCCTTCAAAACAAAACATTGGCAGGATAAAAAAAGAAGGAAAAGAAGAAAGCATTCAAAAACTTACTCTGTAGTCACTTGATGTCACATAAAATATAGGGAGAAAGGCCAGCCAGATGATGCATGTGGTATACATGGTAAAACCAATGAACTTGGCTTCATTGAAATTTTCTGGGCACTTCCGCGTTTTGAAGGCATACACAGTGCATAAGATCACCAGGACCACATCGTAGGTGAGTGAGATCAGCATGCTGGCATCTCTGACGTTGCATTTTAAGATGACCGTTTCCCGCTTCTCTGGAATGGTGTACCGCCTGGTACCTGGAGCCTCCAGGATGAGCCACACAGACACCACCACAATTTGCACCAGTATCAGACCCAGGCAGATGAAAACCTGAGAACTTGGGCTGATGAATTTTGGCCTCTGAGCGCCATTCTTTACCCCATCGAAGATGCGGGCAATGCAGTTTGTTTTGGTCAGCAGGGCTGAGTAACAGATAGCAAAGGATGTCCCCAGTCCCAGTCGGCGCAATGCGCAGATGACTGGTGACGGCTTGGCAATGAAGAAAAATGTCATGCAATAGGATAGACCAACCCCAAACAACAAGATGTAGCAGAGCTCTCGGCCTGAGGCTTTGACCAAGGGTGTGTTGTTGTGCTTGATAAAAACAGTCACAACCACGCATGTGCACGCAAAACCCAGGCAGGCAATGGTGACTGGACCAATGGCCCAGGCATCTTCCCACCTGATGTAGTCCTCAGGGAGATCAAAGCAGCCAGATAAGTCTGCAGTGGGCCACTGCCCGAGGCCACAGCCCATACATGTAAACTCATCAGCCAGGTATTCGTAGGGCTCGCAGGGGATGCAGATCCAGCAGCAGACATCCCCTGGTTGCATATTCTTCATTTCGTTGGGGGCACAGGGGTCACTGCACTGGGAAGTGGGGACTGAGTTCCGAGACCAGTGGATAGAGTCGACGTCTAGTGATAAGGTTTCTGCCCAGTGACCCACCTTCAAATAGGAATACTTGCCACCCACGTGCTGGAAATTGAACACGTTGTATCGTCCCATTCCATCTCCAAAAGCGTCAAACTTGACAATGCTATCTGCATCTTGATTTGGGTTGAAGGGAGCTGTGACATGTAGAGTGAAAGAAAGAAAGAAAAGAAAAAGAATGTTGTTTAGGTGTCTTAGGCATAATGAGTCAATTACTTTGTCATACACTTAGCAGAACTGTAATAATAGGGAATGGGGATTCCAAGGCCAAAACAATGTAACAATTACCATTGAATTTACACATCAAAAGCTACTTGAGTACTTACACATTCATAAATTCCTCTACTGAATGTTCCTTGGTGCCTCCTGTGTGCCAAGTGCCAGCAATGACCATGAGCACAGTGCAGCACGAGCCTTCCAAGGAGCTCATTGTGTAGCAGGAGCACTGTTCTCTGTTTTTTGTAAATATGCATTTCTTGAAAGGTTTCACAATAGGAATTGGACAGGACTTTGTATCTCATTACATATTTACTTATGTACAGCCACTTAAATATCTTCATGAAAATATACAATTAATAAAATTTTTCTTCAAAATGAAAAAATCATTATGACTGTATGGTCTGCTTCTCTTAAATGGTTTAGGTGAATCAATGGGAACACTAACACTGTCATGTTTGGAGTGTGTTCATTCTCACTGCACATGTGTCTATGGACACACGCTCCTGTCCGCGTGAATATTGTTAGGGCACCAACAGTATGAAGAAGGTAGTAACTATGTTTTACAGTTTGTTCCTAACAGTAGAGGGCCAGTAGCCCTCAGTCAAATGATCTGCTCCCGACCCTGCCCCTTTCTTACAGCTCTCTGTGAGTTCTGAAGCAGCAGCTCTCTAGGCATCGATGTTTCTTCTGTTCTAGCTGCTGCTCTTTATGTCTCTCTTGCCAATATCTGCTGCCCCTGTGATCACCGGTTTTACGTTACCTACTCTGAACTACTGTGCACATGCTATTTCGCACTGCCAAACTATACTCTTTCTGTGGATGTGGAAGAGTGCCGCTTATGACATGATGTGCAGACAAATTGTATTAGTCAGAGTAGCCTTGCCTGTATCGATAAATAGACCCCAAATTTTTAATGACTCAAACACAATGGAATTTTATGTCTGTGTCATGCAGCAATCTAAGGCCCATATCAGTGGGTGTCTCTCTTCCATATGGTGATTCAGGAACCCAGGTTCCTTGTATGTTGAAGCTGTACCCATTTCTAGAGCCTCTTCTCCATTGGTGTCTATCCAGGGGAAAAAGAAGGAGAATGTGAGGCAGGTATACCTATTTCTAATGTGCCCGACCACGACCCTACTGTGACATGAGAAAGTGGAATTTGGAGGGCACTGCAATTTCTTCCACCACAGGTATTTGCTGTCTCTGTGGCCTCCCCTGAGCTCTGATCCACCATTTCTGGGGCTCATATTGTTTCACCAAGTGGGAACATTGTACTCTTCTTGGGTCCAGTAATTTTATGGAGGAAATGCATCCCTCAATGAGTTACTTGGGTTCTTGGTGAAATTAAACTTCACATTTTACCAAATAGCCCTCTGCTGCTTAGGACCCATAGGTGTCCCTAGAGGGCTGGGTTGGGTGGTTTATAGTAATATTCTAGACCCCGTATAAGGTCTATTAGTAAATGTAGTCCAATATGCCACATTTATTCCTCACTTATGATTTTTTTCCTAGCAATCTTGTTATCTCACCTGCCATTTGTCTTTACTAACCTTCACCTAGCTTTCTGTCAAATTCACCAAACCCATCACATGTGTGTGTCTATACTCAAGCTCATAGTGAGACAGAATGATGTAGTGGATGAGCTCATGGCTTTGGGTTTAATGAATTGTGTGTGATTCTCATCTGTGTCTTTTAATAGTCATATGTCCTTAGGCAAATTAAACTTTTCAACTCTGTTCCTTAATCTGTAAATTATAATATAAATGAAAATTGTAAAGCAATATAAAAATACTAATTAAATTGATCATTTTCTCATTTATGACACTTGCCAAATATTAAATTGCATGATGTTCAGTTCTCTGTTATTTGCTGTTTCTCTTGATCTATTTACACCTTGGGATGATCTTTCTACAGCTACACCAGCTTGTCACTGTGCTTTAATATCTGCTAGGACGAGTGAACATGGCAGTTAAAACATTATTGCTATATTTTCAGGAGTAGGAGTCAACATCAGAATTCTGATGTCATGCAAAACTAAATTTATTTAGTCTATGTTTGCAAAATTTTCATTAAAGTTTTATGGACTCTTTGCATGTTACAAATAAGTAAAATGTCGAATATTTGAACATACTTTACATCAAGTGTAAGACCTTCAGATGTGTTATTATTTTACTCTACATAAGCAATCTCCACCAATGTTTAGTTGATGTGATTAGATTTTCAGGAAAGTATTTGTGAAAGAAGTATGTTTTCTATCTTTCATTGAAATGTTTCACAGCTATTCTTGAATGTATCCCTTAAAAGTAATATATATTTTTTAAAAAGTAATATATTTAACAGGTAAGAAAACTGATTGTGCCCTGGCTGGCATAGCTCAGTGGATTGAGCGCAGGCTGCGAACCAAAGTGTCGCAGGTTTGATTCCCAGTCAGGGTACATGCCTGGGTTGCAGGCCATGACCCCCAGCAACCCCACATTGATGTTTCTCTCTCTCTCTGTACCTCCCTCCCTTCCCTCTCTAAAAATAAATAAATAAAATCTTAAAAAAAAAAGAGTTCTCCAAATTAAAAAAAAAAAAAACTGATTGCTTTGGGTGTTCTGAGCTGGAGAAGGGTTATTGATGAGACTGTTGGTATGTGAGCTAAATAACAGCATAAACACCTCAGATGTGAAGTATTCCTTTTATAAACCTTTTCTGGAAATCATCTAATATCACCAACTGAGTATTGGGGGATTCTGGTTGCCTGGTTAAGAATAACAAAGTTAATAACACATCTGAGGTTGTTACACCTGATATAAAATATGTTAAAATATTGAACATCTTACTTATTTGTAACATATAAAAGGGACCCCTAAATTTTAATGCAGTTTTTCTAAGCATAGAATAAACAAAGTTAGTTCAATATAATAAAATAATTCTGATATTAATTCCTACTCCTGAAAATATAATAATAATGTTTCAATTGGCATTTTTTCTTAATTGTTTGAAAATATTGAGCATTAATAAATTTTTTGAAGATCCTAAGTAAGGACCTTAGCTTTGGCTCTTTTACATGATATTGACACAATTTATTATGAAGCTATTTTAAAACAGAAGGGCAAAATATAGTGAGACTCTTTTATTAGTTTTTTTCCTCCATATCTTTTCATTTTGAAAAATTTCAAACCTACAGAAATGATGAAAGACAAGTATTTGGACATGATAGCATTGAAATCACCTAGAGTTAAGTGTTAACATTTTGTCACATTTTCTTGATCTTTCTCTTTTTTTGCTAAAATACTGGCTATTAAATATTTGTGATTTGCTATTAAAAGTATAAAAATGTGAATATAAAGAGTTGGAAAACGATGTCGAATGGGCCAAAATCTGCCTGTTGCTTATTTTGCAAATGAAGTTTTACTGGAACATAGCCTTACTGTTAACACATTACCTATGGCTACTTTTCTACTACAAGAGTTGAGCATTTGCAGTAGGATTGTATAGCCCTAAAATATTTACTATATCACACGTTCCATAAAAAGTTTGCACATTCCTGAAACAGAACCAAGGGAACTCATACACAGCAGTTTAGAGCATACAATTTGGTATTATAATTAAATATTTGCATATTTATGACCCAGAAATCACATTGTTATGCATATACCCTATGCATAACAAATTTTTGCACATGTGTACCAAAAACACATAAATGACTGTTGTTAGTACTGTGTAAAAGAGGGGAAACAACTTCAATTTCCAACAGTATTCAAAAATCATTTTGTGGATTATTCAGAATTTTATATTGTGAAATTAAACTAACAAAAGTTATAGAAAAGAAGGTGAATGTGTTTTAGGAACAATATTATGTGAAAAGACTCTATGATTCTACTTGTATAAAGTTCTAAGGTGAACAAAACTAAACAAATCATAAACAAAGTGATGTACTTGAAAAAAAATGAATAATGACGACAAAATTCAGGATATTGCATAGGAGATGGACACAGAGAGATGGCTTAAGGAAGACCACAAAGATGGATACCGATTCATTATATTCTGTATCTTGTTTGGACGGAGTGGTTTTCATAGAAGAGTTTTTTTTATTGTGCTTCATAAATTGTTTGTGTTAAGAATATTCTTTGTATGACTTAGCATTACATAATAACAATACTACAAAATTAAAATTTGAGGCTAGACTATTCCAAACACAAATAAAATGTATTAATTAATCCTGTCATTCTAAGGTACTAATCCTGCAAGGTTTTTTTCTTCTCTTATGTTTGGGGATTGGGGGTACAGTTATCATCAATTGCTTTTGTTGATATAATGAATTGCTAAGAGATTTGCTAAGATATACTGGAAAAGTAGTTTACATACAAATTATAATCAGAATGCAAATACTCCACTCAAACAGCATAAGGGCAATGAAAAAACTCAGGATAAATTTAACAAAAATATGTGAAAGACCTATATGAACACTGATGAAAGACAGAAAAGAATGCTAGAAGAAATGAAAAGACATATCATGTTCTTAGATAGGATTCAATTCTCTCTTAGTGATTTTAGTAGTAATAATATATAAATAATAAATTTCAATAAAAATATCAACAATAACAAAAAACCTAAAGCAGTTGTTCCCAAAACTCATCTGGAAAAATAAATCAGTGAGGCTAGCCAGGTACAACAAGAGCAATGAGGGGGCACTCACACTAACCAGACATTAATGATATATGTTACAAAGCTGCAATCATTAAAGCTACATGATACTGACTGATGAATACATGGAAAAGCCAATGCATATATATGAGATATCCATAAATAGGTCCAAACCTTGCTAGAATTTTGTATATGGTGCCCAGTGTGGTCAATTTGGGATCCATTTGAATATAACCTCCAGAAGAGTTAGATAGTAAATCAATGTTGATTTAAGTGACTAAGTTTG